CACACACTAGATTTTGGGTGTATTTTTGTCTGTTAGAAGAAAGTGCCTCCTAAAATTTTAAAGAAAGAAAGACTTATATATATGTGCAAAATAAGGGTTGATACAATGAACGGATGGAATATGACTGTAAAGATGAAAATTATAAAAAAAATTTTTAAAAGGAATTTATAAGGTGCTTGAAAAAAGAAAAAAGGATTAAAAAAGAAAGAAAAAGGGAAGAGAATATGATCAGGGAGGAGACTAGAACAAAGCCATACACTGGAGATTTAGGGTATATTTTGATCTGTTAGAAGAAAGTGTATCTCAAAATTTTAAAGAGAGAACAACTTATATATATATATGCCAAAAATAAGGGTAACTACTATAAAGGGATAGAATATGACTCTAAAAATGAAAAATAAAAAAAAATTTTTTTAAAAAGGAATTGATAAGATGTTGGTTGAAAAGGGGAAAAAGAAAAATTCAAAAAAAAGTTTAAAAAAATTAACTTTGAAAGACTAATGAATCATGGTAAAAAAGCCATGAATTCTATGTGCAGAATTCCCCGCGCTGGAGTTCTCCCGTTGTCCTTGATCGGTAAACTTGGTCTTGTCTTGCTGGCTGTTCGTGCTGATCTTCTGGGGGAGGGGCCTGTTGCCGTGGTTCTCAAATGTCTTTGCCGGAGGCGGAATTGCCCCGCCCTTGTCGGTCCGGGCTAAGCAAGCTGCTGGGGTTTGCTCTCAGGAGCTTTTGTTCCCTGCAAGCTCTCGGCACAGCCTTGGAGGACAAGAGTGAAAATGGCAGCCTCCCAATCTCCGCCCAGAGGAGCCGAGAACTCGGGTCCCCGCTCCTCAGTGCGCCCCCAGAGAAAAGCAGTCACTCCTGTCTCCCCGGTCTCCGCCACACTCCGTGCTCACCCGGCCTGTGACCGAGCGTTTCTATCTCTGGCACCCGACCCCGTGTGGAGTCTCCAAACCCAGCAGATCCCTGCGGTGCGCTCCCGGGCCGCTTCTCCTGTGGGAGGAAGGGGAGTCTCCCCGGCTCTGCCGCTTGTTGGGTCCCTGCTGGAGGCGCAGGGGCCCGACTGGGCCGCGGATCACAGTTTATGGCAACCCCGAGCTGAGAGCCCGCGCCTCAGCTCCGTCTCTGCAGCCGGCTTCCCCGCTCCGATACCTAGGAGCTCTGCCGCACTCAGGCACCCCCGGTCTTTCTGTGACCCCGAGGGTCCTGAGACCACACTGTCCCACAAGGGTTCCACACCCCGCTTAGCCACTGCAGCGACGTCCCTCAGCGAAGCCGACTTCTAAAAGTTCCGATTTTGTGCTCCGCGGCTGTAGCACTTGCCAGAAGCGGCCGCCGGAGGCCCCTCCCCCGCCGTCTATCCTCCCGAATATCGCCTCGGATTCACTTCTCCGCACGTCCTACCTTCCAGAAAGTGGTCGCTTTTCTGTTCAGAGCGTTGTTGCTACTCTCTTCTTCAATCTCCTGTTGAGTTCGTAGGTGTTCAGAATGGTTTGATCCCTATTCAGCTGAATTCCTGAGACCAGACGAAATCCAGGTCTCCTGCTCCTCCACCATCCTGCTCCCCAACCTTTTTTTTTTCTTTTAACCATGAGGATGTGCCCAAGCCTCAGTCCCAGCTGCCACACCATTATAGGCACAAAAACGGGAGGGACCCCAGCCAGAGGAACATGGGAGATCAGGGAATAGACCTTAGCAGCGGGTTATCCACACCATTAGAATGTGTGCCCCCAAGAATCTTAAACCTCTACCGACGGTGTTCTTTAAAATCCCAAAGCTTGGCTCAGCAGGAATAAATATCTGCACCCTCCTCCCTGGCAGATTGCTCTAAACACCAGCCACATTAGAAGCACACAGACCCCTACCCACGGTTGCTGTCACCCCACACAGGGACCCCTGCTTTTCTTTCTTCAGTCAGTTCATTACCTAGTCTCGAATCACATGGGTGGAATAGAATGCTCTTTCACACATGCACTCGCTTAGGTTTGGGTGCCAAATAGAAGTTGTACAACAGTTTTAATTTCTCTGAGAAGTTGAAGGATGGCCTTGCCTCTCACAGGAGAGGTAAAGCTCAGATTTGGGGATTAAGTATACCTAGTGTGTACCAAAGATACCAGATCCAGTGCTCTTCAATTGATTTTGACTTGACTGTACGTATGTCTTCTTGGTCATCCTTAGGTTTGGATTGGTAAAGGAGATTTTTTTCAGAAGAAAAAGAAAGGGGAAAACTTCTTGGGCTTCTCTTATTCCAATTCTTACTACCTTTGTCTAAGGTCATGAGAGAAGGGAGCCAGAGCTCTTGGGTTGTGGTTTGAGGCGTGAGCTTGGATAGCATGCCACCTTCTAGGTGTTGGTTTTATCATCTAGAACGTTGGAGATTTAGAACTAAGGTCCCAAATCTTTAAGGTCTTAAGGCCCCTTCCAACCCCCCAAAGTCCGTGGATCTTTGATTCTGGTACGCATATAGAAATTGTTTCTCCTAGACTCCCTTGAGATTGTGCTAAGAGAACATTCAAAGGAGCTAGCCCAGGGGTCAAGAGGATCCTTGTCTTAATGGGTCCCAGGCATTTGGCTAAATGAATTTACCCCTTCATTGTTGCAGCTGCTGTAGTAGACATTCTGTTACATGGAATGTCTGCATGAAAACTGTCATGTCTACCTGCAATTTCACCAATGAGCAGATTGGCATATTCAGTTTACTCGGGGGGCTCAGCCATCCCCAGAGTGGAAGCAGCATTCAGAAACGACATAATATCTGTGTAACCCATCCTTTCTGATGCTAAATGCTACCTCTAGTGGAAATAGTGGTTGCTGTAGCTTGGTGTTCTGTTCCATGTTATTCAAGATCCTGTCCCATGAATAGCAGTGGGCTGCAGGATACATGATGTTAGTGCCCAGGCTCAAACTCTATATATCCTTTCTTAATCTGTTGGCACAGTTCATGAAACTGCACAATTAGAAAACTGTTCCTTCGGATTTACCTCGGCTATTTGTCTTTTCATTTTTGGATAAGTTCAAGTAAATGTTGGTGGCTTGATCAGATGCCTACCTTCCTAAGCAGCCAAGAAGGTTGTAGAAGGTAGAAAAAGGGGATGGGGCGATAAGAACAGGAGGAATGAGCAGCACAAAGGGGAGGCTTGTCATCTTCCATTGAGCTAGATGCCACATCATCCCAGGTGGAGGGGGTGTGACTGGCCACTGGTGCAGCTAGGATTTGAGTTCCTTTGACACCGAAGTCCATTCCTGCCATCTGCCTGCTACACCAGTTTGCCCGTTCCGGGGTCACTCTGGTCAGGCTCCTGCTGAGTAGCACCTGCCCTGCCTCCCCCTGGGTTCCCAGATGGCTCTGAAGCCTGGTGGGGCCTGACCTCAAGGAGTCAATGATATTGATGGTGCAATAAGATTAGAGGAACAAGACACAGTGCAGGTCGCAGGCACCGACTCCACATGTACTGAGCACACGAGTGGCAGTTAGAATGGGGACCATATGTGTGAGCAAGAACTAGCACGTAGGGCTGCCATTGGGTTGAAAGAATGGCAGAATTGGTGAGGTTAGAAGAGAGGTCAGTGCCTGCAGATGAGCAGAGGCAAGCCATGTGTGGTATTAGCGAAGATGGTAAATGAGCCAGGCTCGTGGGAATTCCTCCGAAAATATTAGCGTGGCAGGATGTATAATTATTGTCCCAAGCTGCCAAAGCTTGATTGGAATGAAGTTGTTATTCAGAAATAGCCTTTAAAGCATATGTGGCTGCCTACTCTTGCCTTCCTGAAAAATAGAAATGCTCTCATCTCAGATCTGGTTTGTTTCAGAATGCTGGGGCCTCTGGTTTTTTGTTCACTAATTGTCTAAATTGGCTTTTATAGATTGCTCATAACAGTTGAATTAAAAGTTTAATTGGTCATTTAACGGAGAAATTTATTATTCTTCTACAAATATAACTGCCTTCTCAAGTGTAGCCCTTTGCTGGGAGGAAGGGATGTTGTCTCCAGGTCACAGCCTATAGGTTCTAACAGTCTTGTTCTTCAGAAGGTGGGGTCTGGGGTTGGGGAACCTCAAGTCAAAGTGTTAGCCCTCTGTTAGGCAGCCTTTCATGAATCACAGGCTGTGTTCCTGGATTCTCCTCATCTAGGCCATTAATCAGCAATGTGACTGATCACTCAGTGCCACTGTGTTACCTGCTACTCTTTTTCTTAAAAAGCTATTGAAGCATAAGATGGATAGACAAAAACACACATCGTATGTATAGAGCTCAGTGAACGTAAGTTGAATACACCTAGGTAACTACAACCAGATCAAGAAATAGAACATGACCAGCCCCCAGAAGCCCCCTTTGGGCCCCTTAGTCTTACCTGCTCTGAAGGGTGACCAGACAGCTAACAAATTAGTTTCACCTCTTTTTGTACTTGGTATAAATGGAATCCTGTAGTAGGTACATTTTTGTGACTGGGCTCTGTAAATACTATGTTTATGAGATTTGTCCATATTGTTGGGGGTAGTTCTAGTCCATTCCTTCCCATTGGAGTCCACTTTGCTCATTTCAAAATGGCAGATATGGAAGCCCCACCTCCGTTATTCATTCAGGGATATCCAGTAAAAGTTAGAAAAAGTTGAAAGTGCTATGCAATGTAAAGTATTTTTATAATTTGGGAGGGAAGAGACTTAAAAGTGAAAATGGAGGGGAAGAGCCCAAAGGTTATAGTGTGAAAAGTGGGGAAGAAAATGGTTCAGCTGCAAGGTCATATGCACGGGAAGATGATGGACTTTGAGGTCAGCTGCTCTGTGAGCTGTATATTAAACTTAATTTCTTAGGATTGCTAACTGAGTCGCTCTGCTAGGTAGCTTGATCTGTCTGATTTGTTCTTTTTTTTTTTTTTTATGAATTCACCAAACATTTTCAGTATCCCATTAAACCACATTTTTCCACTAGGAGATGATTATGGTGGCCAGGAGTGGTTTGTGCATCTCCGTGGGATAATGTCTCCGTGTGTTCTCCCATCAGGCCCTGGATGGGGATTTCTCCGAAGACAACCGCAATAAGTGTCGCATTGCCACCGCACCCTTGATCGAAGCTGTGGAGAACCTGACAGCATTCGCATCCAACCCTGAGTTTGTCAGCGTTCCTGCCCAGATCAGTTCCGAGGTAGGGGGTCTTTGCAGCAAAGGTAATATTAGGGTCTTTGGCTAGTCTGTGTGGCACCAAACGAGCATGAACAGTTAAGAATTCCAAAAGCTCTGTCTTGTAGTGCATTGTTGTTGTTGTTGATGATGGTATTTTCACAGAGTTCATGAAACTCAAGATATGTGCATCTCTTAAGTGGTAATGCCTTAGCTTTATGTGTTAAGAACAAGCTCTGTGCCTGTTTGGGGCTGATTCTTTCTTGGCATGTGCCATATTCGAAAATGGTACCTAAGAGTGAACATGGACCCGAGTGCTTGCTCTCCAGGCTCTTTGTGAATCAGCCTCCATGGTTTCCTCACCTCTGTGTCTCTTTCCAAAGAACATAGGTAGTGACTTGGTAAAGAGCAGGGCATTCCAGAGCCCCTCCTCATTCATTTAATCTGTGCACCCTGCCCTTTCCCCTTCTGCTGTTTGCTCCCAGGGCTCCCAGGCGCAGGAACCGATCCTGGTCTCAGCCAAGACCATGCTGGAGAGTTCGTCATACCTCATTCGCACTGCACGCTCACTGGCCATCAACCCCAAAGACCCGCCCACCTGGTCTGTGCTAGCTGGACACTCCCACACCGTGTCTGACTCAATCAAGAGTCTCATCACATCTATCAGGTTAGTTTCTCCTCCAGAAATTGCTAGGGACCTGCATCTGAACAGGGCAGGGGGAGGGTAAGCCCAACAGGACTTCGATTTAATAGCAATGGAGCTGATCATTATTATCGTCTTTTTGTTTGGCTCTTTGGGACCAGTGGTAGCGCTGGGCACAACAGTAGCTAACCTAAACACTCACTCTATGTCAGAAACCGTTCTGAACACTTTACCTATGTTACCTTATTTCTTCATCACAACAGCCTTGTGAAGTAAACACTGCCATGGTCACCCTTTTTACTGATGAGAGAATCCAGGCAGAAAGGACTTAGGGAGTATTCTCATGGTCATCCCCAGACCTGATGGTCCTAGTCCCAGTCCTAACCATTGTACTACATCGTCTGTATCTAGGAGCTTAGGCAGAGAACACCACTGTATATTGAGCAGGATTTGAGGTTACCTTATTTTGCTAATAAGGCAAGAAGAATATTCTAGGTCCCACAGTGACTCTGGACATCTCTGAACTCCTGGGCGATAGTATGAACCTGAAAAATCCCCAGAGTTGGTATAACATCTCTGAAGTTGACCAAAGTTAATACCCCAGGACATGGAACGCATCCTTTACCTTAGCTATACTTTGCTTTTTGATCGCTTTTGAGACTCACCACCACTGTTCTCTTACCCAATGCCTTACAAAGAAAAATCCACTAAATATTTTAACTTCTACCGTAGGACTTTGTGAATTGTATGCAATGTAGAGAGTACAGTATAATTGCACTGGAAATAGCACTGACCTTTAAAAAATAATAATAATAATAATAATAAGGGTCGTATCCTTAAGCCAGTGCCGCCAAAATGTTTGATTAGCAGGTGCCTCTCATCAGCCTGAAATGAGGAACAGCATCATATCCTTCCCACTAGAAATAAATAAATACAAGTGTTATATGAAGAAATGCATGGGCTCTGCAAAGAGGCATTCCCAAGCAAGGGTCAGAGAGTCACTCCTTAAATACAGCAATCAAACCCAGTAGAAAGTAGACAGGGGCTCCCAGCCCACCAGTGCTGCAGCAAGTTGTGGGACTTGAACTCTGAGGAATCTATTTGACCTGCCCTGTTCCTTCCAGGGACAAGGCCCCTGGACAGAGAGAGTGTGACTACTCCATTGATGGCATCAACCGATGCATCCGGGACATTGAGCAGGCCTCGCTGGCAGCTGTCAGCCAGAGCTTGGCCACAAGGGATGACATCTCTGTGGAGGTAGGCCGGGGCTCTGTGGCCAGATCAGAGATCTCTGGAAGAGCCAAACATTCTCAGCATCAGGCTTCAGGGGGTGAGGAATGGGACCAAATACTTTTTTGATGCTAGCATGTTGTCATTGAAGCACCTTCTCCTGGAACCCACCGGGGAAGTTTTTTGAGGGACTAAGGCAGATGATGAGTAGGGAATGAGGGTTTGGTGAAGGAACACGTGTGCTGCTGGAGTGGAAATGACAATTGGGGGAAAATGATCAATGTCAGATGAGAGTGCGTCAGTAAGGTGGGGTTACCATATTCAGTTTCACACATCAGTAGAGCAGGCCAAGGCAATAAATGTTGAATGTTTCCTTGTCACGTTTTATCAATGCATTTTTTTGACCAATGGGCATATTTAGTATTAAACTCTACACATTTGGTCCATTCAGAGATAAAGGATTCTATCCTAAGTTACCCAATATCCAGTGTTGGGAACCGTTTGCATTATCTTTTTAATTCAGAGCCACGGCCTTTTTTTGCCAATTTTTTCTTCCTTCTCTCTGTCAAAAGTCCCTGACACTCAGGAGCTGCTTAATAAATATGGATGCTGTGTTTACTGACATTTCCCTTACCACCCCTGAATTCATCAACAGTGAACTTAGGCCCGCTGTCTCTAGGCAGTGGGCCCAGAGTTGGTCTTGCTCATTTTTATTAATAGAGCTGTCGATTTTACTCCAGCTCTGCCCTCCTCCCCCACTGTCAAGAAAAGAAAGAAGAAATATTCTCATCCTGTGCAGAATGTTATAATTATTGTCAACCTTTTATTAAAGGAGGGACCTGCATACAGAACAGTGTGCATGTCATAAGTACACAGCTTGATGAATTATCACCAACTGAACACAGCCTTTAGTTAGCACCCAGGTCAAGGAACAAAGATGACCAGCACCCCGGAACCTCCCCCTCACACCCCCATCCTTTCACCACCCCTCCCAAAACATATCCTCTCTCTTCCCTTCCTCCCTAGAAAGAAAATCCCTCCCTTTGAACTATGTGTGCTCCCTACTTATTACCACATTTGTTTTAATAAGCCATCTGTAATAAGATAACATTGCTGAAATATTCTTGCATTTTTAGGTGTTTTGTTTTGTTTTGTTTGAGAGAGAGAGCATGAGTGGGAGGAGGAGCAGAGGGAGGGGGAGAAGCAGACTAACCGCTGAGCAAGGAGTCCAATGTGGGACTGGATCCCAGGACTCCAGGATCATGACCTGAGCCAAAGGCAGACACTTAACTGACCGAGCCACTCAGGTGCCCCTATTCTTGCATTCTTGACTATAATCACATGATGAGCAGAAAGATGATAGTGAACTAAATAAGATCCTTGAAGTTTAGATGTTTCTCTCCGCCTTCATCCAACTTTCTATCTCTGTCTTTCTTTTTCTTTTGTATCCCGAGGACTTTGTTTACCATTTGGCGTGTTAGATTGCTCTTTTCAATAACTAACCTTTGCCCAGAGCCCCCAGCCTGTATGCAGTATTATTCACAGGGAAAGCAGCACGGGCCAGAGTCTCATTTCTGGCAAGCAGAGCATTGTCACCTTGTCAGAAATTACCCTGTTCCATGCTGGCATGTGAAGACCTAAAATGTCCAATGCTGTGATCTATTAATCCTGAATCCATCAAGCAAATTTCCTAGGAAGAGTCCGACAAAGGATCTGATCTGTCCTGCTACCAGCTACTAATGTCTACCTTGAAATTCCCCATCTCCCTCATACTCCAGCATCATCCAGATACTTGGCCTCATCTCTTAACGGCACGAGTTCAGTTCTTCTTTCAAACCTGAGAAGAAATACCTTGGGGGTGCGATGTTTAATATATGCATTCACGTCACCAAATACAATGTACTTAGAGCCTGAGCTGAGCCCAGTGGGTAACTCACCTGCCATTTTCACAGTGTGCTGTCTGGGAAATGGTCCTGCTTTCAGAGAGCTGATCTCATTTTCCTATCACCCTTTTCTCCCCTCCTCTCCTCCCTGAAGGGGTTCTTATTTCAGAGGACACAGCCACCTGGACATTTCCCCAGACCTCACGTTAGCTCTCCCCATTCAAACAAAGTTGTCTTCTCTTCTTGGAAGGAAAGGTTCCTTATTTCCAGTAGTTATGCTGCATAACTGAAAGTAAGGATACCAGCAGCACCACTTAACACTGTGGTTGGTGTGAGTGAGCAGCCAGTAAGAAAAGTATTCTTTGGGCTTGCCTTGTGTCACTCACTGGAATTGTGGGGGCTCTAGCCCAGGGGAGCTGAGGATCCCTGGGAAGGGCGGGGTGGAGTGGTAGCTACATGGCTCACCCAAGAGAGGTGTTATCCATTATAGATACAGTGGATGTTTTGATATCCATTTCTCATGGCCTCCCTTGTCTTTTGCGTGGGCCTTTTTATTTTTAAATCAGTGTGGCTACGTGGTGAATTGCCGTAGGGTGAATTTGACAGCTCTCTGTCCTTATCAGGCCCTGCAGGAGCAGCTAACTTCAGTGGTCCAGGAAATCGGGCACCTTATCGATCCCATCGCCACAGCGGCGCGGGGAGAAGCAGCTCAGCTGGGACATAAGGTAATGTGCCCCAAGGGGATCCTGCTGAGGGTGTGCGTGAGTGATGGGGGGGCGGGGCACAAGATTGATCACTGACCACTTCAGGATCTGTTTTCACCTAGAGTTCAAACAGAAACTGGAGTGACACCTTTCTGGCTATTGCCGGACTTCCCAGCCAACAAGACATTTACAGTCATCTGTTGCTCTTGACCTTCGCTGGATGAGCCAGAGATGAACGTTGATATTGCTAGTCTGCTGTCTGCCATCTTTTGTCCCTGGCTGACTGGTCCCATTCTCACGTCTTTAGGGATACATTTTTCTTCCATGGCTTCTAAAAGTGCCTGTTCTCACACATGAAGCAGCAGAGCAAACTTGCACACTTCACTCTGGACAACCAGGCCTCCCTAGCCCACTCCAGAGGAGCCTTTCAACTGAGAGCTCATACCCGCATTGTATAAGTACTGACTCATGCTCTGCCTGTTTGGGGTTCATTTTGCAAATCTTTCAAGGGTAGTTGCCTTGTCCAGCAGCCTGTGCCTCAGGATAGAGAGGGCAAAAATCGGATTTTTAACAGCCTCCAGGGCTGGCCTGGGGGGCCGGAACACTGCCCACATGTCTGCCGCAGGGAACTAAGTCTAGCAGACTAGCCAGACTTCATTTTAGTGGTTACTTTTGATTCCAGTAGAAATTCTGTAAGAAAATATGTCTAGATTTCTCCAGCAACAATCCTTGTGCCTGCCCATATGGTATTAGTATAGAAGATTAATTCCTATGTCAGTGGGTGGCATCAAAAGAAAAATAATATATTTGTGTCGTTTGAGTGACAAATTTACTCTTGGCCCTTTGGCTAAAGCCGTCTCACTTTCTAAAGGAGAGTTCTGGACGAAGGAGGCCTCTGGCCCTCTATCCAGGGGAGTCCCGGACTGAGAGTTGATCCCCACCTGGTTCCCATTCTTCATTATGACACTCAGGTGGGGTCCCAGATCAGCTTCAGATCACTTGGGAGTGATACATGCAAATTCTCAGACCACATATATTAGTTTCCTAGAGCTGCTATAACAAATTACTACAAACTGGGTGGCTTAAACCAACAGCCACTTAATGTCTCACAGAAGTCTAAAATCAAGGTGTCCGCAGGGCCGGACTCTTTCTGGAGGCTCTATGGGAGAATCTGTTCTTTGCTTTTCTAGCTTCTGGTGGCTCTGAGTGTTCTTTCCCTATGATACCATGCCAGTCTCTGCCTCTGTGGTCACGGTGTCTCCTCCTCTTCTGTCTTCCCCTCCTCTGTCTCTTATTAGAATACTTCTTAACAGATTTAGGACCCACCCAGGTAATCCAAGGTGATCATTTGGAGAACTTAAATACATCTGCAAAGACCTTTCTTTCCCAGTAAGATCATATTCACAGGTTCCAGGGATTTGGGCACAGACATACCTTTTTGGGGGGCCACTACTCAACCCTTTCTGCCACCCTAGGCCTAGGGAAACATCATGTACCAAGTACTCAAAATTCTGTGTTATTTTAACTTCTGTGCTAACCCATGTAAGGATATTTCCTATTCTGTCATGTCTCGAAAACAGAAGTTATTATAGTCTTTGCTAAGCTCCCTAAGTACAGGAAAAAGCACATCCTTTCAAAAACTTTTGTCCACAATCCATGAAGAATAATGACACCTAGCATTTATTGAGTGCCTACTACATGTCAGGCATTGTGCTAAGTACTTGTATGCATGCTCATTTAATTCTTCTAACAATCTGAAGGAGCTTAGTGCTATTATTCATCCCCATTTTATGGAGAAGGAAACTGAAGTTTGGTAATAGGAAGCAGATTGCCTAAGAGTTCTCGTTAAGGAACTGACACACAGGATTCAAATCCAGTGGCTCTGACACTGGAGCTTTCTCTCTCCATCACCAACCATAATGCCTCCATGAGGGCACCAGCTTAGTTGTATTTAATTCTCAGCACACAGCAGCCCTTGACATTTTACAGTTGCATTGATGAAATGTACTTTTAAAATAAAAAAAAAATTAATCTAGAAGGGCACCTGGGTGGCTCAGTCGGTTAAGCATCTGACTCTTGATTTCGGCTCAGTTCATGATCTCAGGGTCGTGAGATCAAGCCCCACCTTGGGCCCCATGCTCAGCGCAGAGTCTGCTTGAGCTTCCCTCTCTCCCCCTTCCCCTCCACTTGTGGGCACTCTCTCTCTAAATAGTTAATTAATTAAATCTTTGGGGGAAAAATGAATCTAGAAGACATGTAAGATTCTAATGCATTAAACGTCTTAATTCCTTTAAAACATACAGGACCCATCATGAGCCCTGACCCCTGATGACCCATCACTGCACTGTGGTCCCTTTGGTGGAGGCACGAGTGCCCTTCCAGCAGAAGAGGATGAAATCCAAGGGGGATGTGGAGGGCTGGTACCTGGAGTTAGGCAGGCCGGGTCTTACACGAAGGTGTTTGGCCAAGGCAGAGACTAGGGCCAAAATCCAGCCAAGTCGTGTGCTTTGGCATCAGTCGTGTCTGCCCCAAGGATAGGGAGCCCCTTTAAAATTCATCCAAAATACCATAAAGGCCAGCAATAGCCCTGTTCAGGTGCTTTAAAACCATCTGTAAGAGAACTATAATCGAGGATAAAAGAGTAAATGTATGTTGGTTGCTGGCTCATGGTGTGTCTCATTGTTAGCTCTAATGAACTTTCGTATTTTGGACTCCCACCTTGTCCCAACCACCACCAGCCCCACAAACCCCTGCCCCCTGCTTCGTTTCTGACCCAGTGACCGCACCACTCACGCTCAGTGGCCTTCCTGCCCACGGCCCCATCACGTTCATTCTTCGTCCACATCATGGGAAGAAGCATTAAGGGAAATTGCTGGCTAAAGGCTTGAACTTATATACGCTTGATGGAAATAATTTAGCAAGTAGTAATTGGCACACACAATGAGGAGCGGAACAGAAGAGCGTGATCAGGGTCACTGTGTTTTATCTGAGCGGGAATAGATGGTGGTCTGAAGCAAGCACAGCGAATGTCAAAAGCTGACATTCTGGAGGCTGGGTAGATGCGCATTACTGTATTACGCTCGGACTTTACTTTAAATACTTCAGAGAGCCGCAAACAAATACCAAACAACAAACTTCTAAACTCCAGTATTACAACTGTGGCAGAGCTGGACTGAAAATGAGAAGTAGCAGGCAGTGGAGCGGAAGGTGGGAGCCTGGGCTGTGGACGAGAACACCTGCTTCCTGTCACTGCTCTACATCGTGGCTGCTTGGGGTCGAAAGAGTTACTTCACTCACCTAAGCCTTGGTTTCTTCATTTGTGTGTACCTCGTAGAATTGCTGTGGGGATTAGATGAAGCATGGTCAGCCTGTAGCAGAAAGCCTGGCATGGGGGATGTGCCCAAGAAATGTCTGTGACACATGACCCTGCCCAGCTGGTGGGCGCCCCTGAGTACGGAGGCCTCAGCAAGAACCGTGCTTTGCCATCTGGCTTTTCTCCTGGACTGGACTAATCACGAACAGAACATTGGGACCGATGTGAAATCATGTTCACTTTTAATGCAAACCCACGTTAGGTCGACACGCTCAGGGCAGAGGGCAGTTGGGCTGGCTTCTTGAAAGCCTTTGCTGTCAGGCTGCTTCTCTCAACGGCCCTGCTCCCCTGCCCCTCCCTGTCCCCCTTCCTTTGCGTTCATAAGATGCTCAGCTCTGGTTCTTTCGAAAGCTTTGCTGTTGGCGAAGTTAAAATTTGTAAAAGTCTCACACCCAACGCTGGATCACAGAACAAATTTCTTAACACTTCTGCCATGATGAGAGACGGGACGGAGAGCTTGCCAGAGGAAGTAAAATCCAAGCGAGAGTTCGTGAACGAGCAAGTACTTTTGAAAGTAAAATTGAGTGATGTAAGTTCTCAGGGTCTCACGTATAGCATGATGACTCTAACTCATGACAGTGGATTTAATAATAGGAAACAACGAAAGTGGATTTCAGCGGGTCTGCCTCTCACTGTGCGTCATCCCATGCCTGTCCCAGTCCCATCTCCACTAGTGGGGCCCCTACAGGAGATACATGGATTTACATGATGCATCTGTCGCTTTTTTGTCTTGAAAGGTGACACAGCTGGCAAGCTACTTTGAGCCCCTGATCTTAGCTGCAGTCGGTGTCGCCTCCAAGATTCTGGATCATCAGCAGCAGATGACGGTGCTGGACCAGACCAAGACGCTCGCAGAATCTGCCCTGCAGATGTTGTATGCAGCCAAAGAAGGTGGAGGAAACCCCAAGGTACAGTTCGGGATCCCGGGGACTCACCTAGGGCTGCTGAGAAGCCATCAAGTATTCCTCAATATTGAGTCCCTCCAAGGAAAATTTCTCCAGTTCTTGGTTGATAGTATGTGCCTTCCCACTCAAAGGTGGGCAAGAATCTACAACTGGCCTTCACGGGGATCTTTAAGGGGAACATCAAGATATATATACATATTTAATACATAATTAAGCCTTTTTGTTAAGTTATGTTTTCCATGTCAGAATATGTAGGCAAGCATCCTTGGGAAAGGAAAACATTGTGTGGTTATTGCAGGAATAAAAATTAATACCTGCCAGGCACCTGCTCAGTGTTGACACCCAGCTTGTGCAAAGCAAAGCCCAGTTGTTTTCCAATGAATATCATTTGGATATTTCCATTCCTGACACTCAAGTTCAAATCAGAATGTGGGGCAAGGTCACCCATGGCATGTGTTTCTATTGTCTTGCATCAGCAGTTGCATATGAAAATCTCCCTTATTAGTTTGCTGGGGGAACATTGCCTCAGCCCGATGTGTCTGTCACCCAGCTCCTTGAAGTGGCCAAAGATGGTGACAGCAGGCCATCTTCTCTCAGGGGTGATATTTGTGTCCGAGTGATTATTTTACTTGTGAAACCATCTTATAAGTTCCCCCAGGGTTCTGGTACCTTGAGAGGAGGTCAGAGGCTCCTCCTGCTATTTGTACCTTCTGGCAGGTGCCTTCACATAGTGAGTCTGAATTTCCTGGGTCCTCACTTAAGCAGACTACACTGTGGGAACACAGGCTGGAACAGTTTGTGTGGGATACTTGCCTACAAGCTATAGGAATCCCCATTATGTACGTGTTCTTCTTAGTGTGTTTTGTCGCAGCTCTAAGTCTTCACATCGATAACTTGGTATAGCAGGGAAGACTCTAGAGTAAGAGTAAGAATCACACAATAGTAATCTTAGAGCTCACAGTTGCTGAGTGCTGGTTCTACGTCACCTCTTCTACCTTATGTCCTCTTGATATTTAATCTTCATAAAAATCCCATGTTGTAAGAAGGTTCCCATTATACAGACGTGAGAACTGAGACTGCTTAGGTAAGTCATCCCACATCACAGGAGAGGTGGATGTCGAGTCAGGACTGAGCCTACACCCTCTGGAAACACAGGCCGACTGCCCAAAGCAAGGGCCGGAGAGAGGTTGAGCAAAGTTGCAAGCAAGAGGCCACATGTGGCTAGTCGGTCTCAGAAAAAGAAATTATTTGGCACATAAGGGTGGCTCGAGGCATGCTGGCAAGGAGGAACAGCATATGCAAAGGTGTGCGTAGGGTTACAAAAGGATCGAGGTATCTTTGGAGAAGAGCGTGCAGTCTGATGTCCGTGGAACGTACAGAGAGTGGGGACGACCAGGGGGGTGTTGTGACAGCCCTCCTCTCCCACACTCTAAGGCGTTTGGGCTTTTTTGTAAGCAGTGGGGACTTACAACCCATCCAGAGTTGAGAAACACCGCTCTGGTAGCAGTGTGAATAATGTCTTAGACTTGCGTTTTCTGAGTTCAGTTTTTCCAATCATGTATCTGGCAACTATTAAGAGCCTAATTCTTGGGCTGCTAAAAATAACGAGAGCCAGCCAGCGCCCTCAAGTTGTTCTCAGTCTTCTGGAAAGAGAAAAGGCTTGTTGCTGAAATGGTGAGGTTGAGCAAGAAGAACAAGACTGCCCTTCTGACTAATCACTGAGTGATAGGTGCCCCGAGGTGGCCCAGCCCCCTTTGCACCTGCCACGGTGGTGAGGCCGGGGTGGGGCGGAGTGGGACTCGCTTCCAGACCCAGCTCCGGGTTGTCTTTTCTCCACGGCTGAGTGGCACCTTGCTCCACCCCGACCTGAGAGGATTCAGTCCCGGCAGAATAATTCCAATTAGGCGTTTTCTGGGTTTTTAAGGTATTAGCACGTCTGCTTGGACTGCAAATTCAGAGCTCCTTGCAGAATTCTGTTTTATACCAAGAAACTCAGGGTCGGGAGCATGTGTAGTCAGCACTGTAAGCTTTACAGGACATCCTGTGCTTGGGAATGGTGGCTGGACGCAAGAGTGGGACAGTTTTCAGTGACTGAGCTGAAGCATTGGTGACAGGCTGAGACATGATGAGTAAAGGCAGGACGGGTACCTTGGTCTCTCCACTCCCTGGCATCCTGCGTTCAGCCTATGCTCTGTCTGCAGACCCTGACAGCCTCGTCACAAAGGATGCCTAGGCCACCATAAGCTGGGTTTTAGGTCCTTTCTTAAGAGGCTTAGTGCACAGATTTAATCACCTTGGGTGCTATTCTTTGGGCAAATATTTCCTCGGTGTTACTTGCTAGGTCGTAGGTGATGTGTGTATGTATGTGTTAGATGTTGTTGTGTGTCACTGTTTGCCGAGGAAATGCAGTTCAGTGATCATCAGTGTTTCTGATGTGGTGGAAAAGAGGGTAGGCTTTGGAGTCCAACATAATTGGATTCAAATCCCAGTTCTGCCTCTTGCTAGCAAATTACTTCATTTCTTGGCTTCCTCATCTAAACAGTGGGGTTAACAGTGAATACCTCTCAGGGGTCGTTATAGAGATTGACTGAGATAATGTGCCTAACACAGTAGGTATTAAAAAAAGAAAAGAAAAGAAAGGGACAGCCCCAGAGCCTGGTGTTAATGAGTCCTACGATCACGAGGCATTTGCAGGGTAGCCTCACCCTCGCCCCACTGAGCCCCCTTCCACACTCACCTCTGCCCCACCCAGCTCCCTCCTACATCCTCCTTGAAGGGCCCCTCCTGCTTCTCCGGCAGGAGATACCCAGCCCTGTGCACTGCTGGGCAGTTCTAATTATTCGTTGGTTTTTACCCTTCTGCTGACATTGACTTGTGTCCCCCAACCCCCTGTGGCCTTCTCCCATTTTCCAGATTCCTGTGATGTCTATGCCTGCTTTGCTGGGCTTTGTAGTTGAAGCACTATAATAGAGAAATAAGGCTCCCTTGGAAGTAGACTTCAGACATGTTTCCAAAAAAGAACCGAGTCTGATTTTTCTCCCGTGTTGTGCTGTGAGGAGCAGTAACAAGGAGCCCCTCCAGAATCTAAAATAATGACCTCATTGTTGAGCCTCCTGAGTCCACTTCCCAGATTGCTGGTGGGCTTTTAAGCATGCCTTAATTGAGCGCCTACTGTGTCTTTGGGTGTCTGAAACATCGTGTGCTCAGGTGGCACACGATTGGATGTGGCTGTGTGGTAGAGATGAGGTTTGCCATTGGAGCTGGGGGGAAGCGGCCCTGGGAGAGGCCCAGCGTAATTGGAGGAGGCTTCACAGACTCTCAGCTGACCCGTTAACGGTCTGTGACTTAAATATGTGGAATGAAGGGGAGCAGGCCTAGAGAACTCCTCGCGAGAGCTGATGGGAAGGTAATTGTTTCTGGGACCGCCAAGAGCAAGGATGTGTTTTTGTAGGTTTGGATGCCCCGGTGCGGAGAAAGTGTCCTTTACATTTTCCAGGGAGTTCAGAGAGCAGTCTTGGGATTTACCGCTGCCATCCCCACAACTTGCCTCTTGGACCTTCCTCAGCCCATATGGGATAGCAGCCCTCACTTCTGCCCAGAAACGTGCACTCGGCTCGAATATGAGCGTTCCACAGAATTGCTGACATTTTTGAGCTACCGGTGATCATCTTACTGGAAGTGAGATTTAGAGAAACACACACCTTCTAATTTTACCATTTTCATCAATACTTGTGTGAGGTGCTCTCTCAAGAGGGTAATGTGCAGGAAGTGTCACTTTTCAGACTTCCATCATCAAAAGCAAGCAGTCTGCACATTTTGTGTTTTACCTTCTCTGTACCATGAAATCAGCCATCAACCTAAATTACCCATTTCCTCCATCACATCCCTAAGAGAGGGTGCATCCTGACACACTCAAGACAACCATCCGTGATTGGACCGATGCACAGCTTGTCAGAGGTCGTATGGAAGACCTCTTCTGGATTCCCGTGGCTTTTCCATTCCACAGACTGAGCCAGGTCCTGTGGCTCCCACAGCCTCCTCTTAGAATTCTTCTCTTTCAGTTAGCCAGTTAAAAAGAGTTACCATGGCATTTGCTTCCCTCCCTGGCCTCCTTACCTTCTCATCCACCAAAGGGAAGGTGCAATTTCTTGGGTATTGGAAGGGTCGTCTCCCTGTGAGGTGCGTTGGGGCAGCCGTGGCCACTGCGTGGGGGCCCCCCTGGTGCCTGGAGTAGTGTGATTCTGATGCTGACTACCTGGCATCAGGTCAGATTTCCCAGGTTAAGGGCATTACCCTCAATTCAGGCGCCAGCCATAAGCTCCGAGGTTCCCAGTCCATCCTCACTCTGACCAGGTGGCTCCAAATTCAGAGGGCTCTCTCTAGCCCTTCAGGTTCAATAATTTGCTGGAATGACTCACAGGACTCAGGAAATTGCTCTACTTACTGTTACCGTTTTATTATAAAGGCTACAAACCAGCCAAAAGAAGAGATGCAAAAGGTGAGGTTTGGGGGCGTCCTAAACATGTCCCAAGGATGTGTCACCCTCTCACTTTAGTAGGTGAGACCTTAGTGCATCACCAACCGGGGAAGCTCACTCCAGCTTTGCTGCCCAGAGTTTTATTGGGATTTTGTTATGTAGGCTGGATTGATTGACTCTAGTCATATGATCAATAATCCAGCCTACAGCCCCCTCGCATCCCCCGAGGTCAGGCCGATATTATGTTGCTCAAAGCCACAACCCTCTAATCACATGGTTGGTCTCTCCAGCGTGGCCAGCCCCTGAAACTGCCTACGGACCACCATGAGTCCCCTTCTTAGCCTAAACTAATGTGTGGTCAGGGAGCCCCCCATGAAGCACAGAGGCAGTCCGGAATCACTTGGGAAATGCTAAGCACTTGAAGCCTCCCTCCTAAGAACCTAGAACAAAAATCAGCCAAATGTTTTACCATTTCACACCCAGGTGAGGTTCCGGGGTTGGGCTCATCTGGCGGCAAGTGCTGAAT